CTGAAGAGACAGACAAGGCAGGGCAGCCTGTGCTGCTGACACCCAATCCCTTGGGCTGCTGGGCTCTTGGATACAAAGTGATTCCATTTCCCTGTTGGGAACCCTGCCAGGCCAGCCTGTCCAGGCAGACCTACCTTTCAGAGAAAGCCCAGACAACCATGGAAAGAAGGGAGCTTAGCACCTCACTGCCAGCATTCCATGAAGCACCCCACCCCTGACAAAGGACAGGCCACAGAAAAGGTTTCCCCTCTGGCCAGCTTGTTCCACTCAGCTCTGGTGGGAAGTGGGACTTATTAGGGACATGGCCTCTGGGCTGCAGCACTTGATCTTTCTGCCAGCAAGGCCTGGAAATCTCATTCATTAAACCACAAATGTCAAATATGCATAATAGTGTGCCAGGACCAGGGATTTTAGAGGTGTGGAAGAGGGGGCTGGGGTTGTGGCTCAATGATAGAGCACTCGCCGCCTAGCATGTGTGAGGCCCTGGGTTCGATCGTCAGCACCACATAAAAATAAATGAATAAAATAGAGATGTGGAAGAACTGAGCTCACCCTCAGCCTACAGTGAATGTGGAATCCGAATGTTCTGTGGATGTGAGTTGTTACTGGAAACTGCATAGGAAGTAGCACAGGCTGAGTTCTAGGTGGTGGCACCATTGCTATTCTGGGGGAACTTCTTTGGGTGGCACCAGGATGAGAAAGTGGCTTTCATCCAGCCCCCAAATTTTTGCCCTAGGCTTCTGGTTGGCCTTGATGGACTTGGTGGCACCTCTCTTGTCCCTACTAGAGGACCCCTGGCTCCAACCCTGCCAGTTCTCCTCTCTGGCTTGTTCCCTTGTTCAGGGAGTCTGCTCTACACACTTGGTAAAACTGAGCCTGGGTGTGCTTCTTCTTTTCGCCTCTCTTTCACTCAGTTGCCTCCCCCAGGCTTTCCCAGGTCTATCTGGGTAAGCCATGTAGTCTGTCTGTGGCCCCCACTCACCTGCCATGTCCTGTCCTGCCTGGGGACCCAAGACCCAGAACCAGTAGCAGATCAGGCAGAAGAAAACTCCCAGAGAAAAGGGCTTTCTGCTCTGTAGTGAGGTCTTTCTTTGCCCCAGTGGTGTTAGAACTGGTTACAGTTGGACCCCTGGCATATGTAGGGCTCCAGGCTTCTCTCTGCTTTCTAAAGAGTCATGTCGGAATTTTCCCACTCCCCTTATTTCTCCTTCAACCACCACCCCAACCCTGTTCCCAAGAATCACAAACCCTCCTAACTGCCCCTCTCTCTCTAAACCTTCTGAAGCAGGTGAGTCTCCTACTGGRTGAGGTTTGCTACTGTCCTGTTTCCTTCCCTTATCCTGAAGTGTGTTCAGATCTCTAAGTAGCTGTGGTTATTCCCTCAGATGTCTGTCCTTCAGCCCACAGTTCCCCTGTGTTCCCTAACCAGGAGGCACCACTATCCAGTGGCCTCCCCATTGCGTCATGCCCCACRGTCCAGGCATCATGCTCCAGGGACAGAGAAACCAGGGCTGCTGGGCAGGATCTTTGCCAAACCCAGGCCCTATGGCACTTTATGGGGAGGCACAGGAAGCAAAAGGCTGCCCCTCCCTTCAGGATCTCAGACTTGTTACATGTAAGCCAAGAGTAGGGTGCACTATGATGTGCTGCTCTAGAAGTATATTTCAGGGAAAAACATGTAACAGAAATAAGTTCCCAGGCCTGGGAGCATAGTTCAGTGGTAGAGCACTTACTTGCCTAGCACGAGTGAGGCCCTGGGTTACATCCCCAACACTGCAGGAGGGAGGGAGGGAGGTCCCTAGCCTCACATCTTAGAGACTGCTGTCTGCATGTGGGGTGCTCTGGTGAGAGAAGATCATGGCTCACAGGAAACGGCTCCAAAGTCTGTGTTGACTGGAGTCAGCAAGTGATCTGCCTGGTGTGGGCTGAGCTGTGCCAATGGACCAAGGATGTCCAACACAAAGAAGGGGTTGCACTTTTGCCAGTCTCTGACTGGGCCAAAGCACATGTTTGGCTCTGGGCCTGGGCTGCCAATACACTTCCAGAAGTTAGCAGCTAGCAGAGCAAAAGGTTCAGAAGGAGTGGGGCTGTTTAGCCATGAGATTCAGGTTGGAAACTCTTCAGATACCTGAAAGGCTTTCTAATGAAAGATTAGACTAGATAAGCACCCAGCAAAAATGAAATTCAGGAGAGAGAGCTTTCTTACAAAGATGGCAGACAGTTCAGAATGGCCATGGTAGCTACCCAAAGCCTATGCTTTGAAGGATTCTGGGCTCAGTGGGGAAGAGTGCTATGATCAGTTCTCCTATCCACCACGGTGCTCTCTGGGACATCACTCCATGACTGCAATGCATGTATCCCCTGCTTTAGGGTCAGCTTTATGACTACATATTCAGGCCATTCAGGCTTTTTGGTGATGATCTGGTGGTCATCTCCAGGGCTGGAGTATCCCTCGAGACCAGAGGCTTTGTGTCCTATGAGTCCCTTGACAGCCTGGCATACATAGCCTATAGACCTCTTCATAATAATGTTTTAAAATGTGCAAATGAGAGACCAAGGATCAAATTACATTGACAAAGTTGTCAAACATTAAAAAGCAAATTCACAATATAAGGCTGGGGACGTGGCTCAAGTGGTAGAGCGCTCTCCTGGCATGCATGCGGCCCGGGTTCGATCCTCAGCACCACATACAAAAAAAAAAAAAAAACCAAAGATGT